TAAGAGATGAGGTATGGGGATAATTATGCTGTATTTAAAGATGGTATAGATAAGGGGCTGCCACAAAGAAGAGGGAGTCAAGCTATTCTCCAAAGCGCCTAAAGGCAGGAGAAGAAGCAATGGATGGAAACTAATCAAGGAGAGAAGCAACCTAGAACTAAGGAGAAACTTCCTTACAATTAACCAGTGGAACAACCTGCCTCCAGAAGCGGTGAATGCTCCAACACTGGAAGTTTTTAAGAGACTGGACAGCCATTTGTCTGAAATGGTATAGGATTTCCTGCCTGAGCAGGGGGTTGGACTTGATGACCTCTAAGGTCCCTTCCAACATTATTATTATTATTATTATTTTCATAATAGTTGGTCTATTAGAGTTGTATGAATACTTGCGCAGTGCATTTGAAGTAAATGATGAATCATAAGGCAATTACCTCCCTTCATAACATCCCCTGGCATAGGAAAAATGATTACATTTTACATGAAGTTATCCACTACTTCCTTGTGTCATGTAAAAAAAACATATTGGTAATCAATACCAGACATTATTCTTCCTGTTATTTTTCTCAAACTCAATGCCTAATTTTATATATTCCACCATTTCACACCAATTTCATAACAGTGAGGAAAAACCTTGCTAGAGAGTTCTAATATCTGTGCAAAAAAAAAGAGAGACATTACAAAAGCTATGATTCCTGAATGCCCTTTGTTCCTTTAATCCTGATATTGAAACATTTTCTCCTCTTGTCTCAAATTCTTTACTCTGTAATTAATATAGCTAAATACTGAATAGGACTCTTCCACATTACTATGAGTTTTACTGCTTTTAATAAGTGTTATCTAAATTGAAAACCTGAAAAAATTCTGAAAAAACAGTTTGACACTTGAGACCTCTTTTCTGAGTCGACAGAAATAGCCAAATATCTTCTGGGGGGGGGGGGAATCCTTTGCATGAGATTTGAACACATATGTAATGGGGTGGGGGTTGCGCATAAACCAAGTAATACTTCTTTAAACACAGCAAGGGCAGTTTCCATATGCTGTCTAAGGAGGAAAACTCCTTGGCCTAGCTAATGTTGCCAAGTTTTCCATCAAGATGCCATAAACATGCATCTGATTTAATGTAGAGTTTTCCTTGTCTGAAAAGAGCCACAGCTTTCAATGTTTTTACAGCCAAACAGCAGGATTACTACATGTTTTGTGTAAGACGGAAAATATCTAAAAATATATATGAATACAAAAGATGCCATCAGTTGAAGCATCTACAAAGGGAGCTAGTCTGTTGGCAGCACATAAAGGTAGAATATTCAAAGCTAAAGTATTTGACATACTACTCCCCTTTAAATAAATAAACATATACTATAGTTAAAACATTCTTTTTCTTCTATCTCTCAACAGTATTTCTCAAATTTGCAAAACTTTCTTTTCATTTGCCATATTTTATAAAAGTACAAACTTATATATAGAAAACGTAGAGACTTTATGTCAATCATTATCGGCCCTCATTACAATTGATTATGATTTCCCTCAGCCCAGCTAGTGTGTCTAATGAGGAGGAAAGTTAGATTTTGTATTTCAGCATCAGCTCAACCCCGAATTATGGTTACCAGAAGCAGTGCTTTTTTGTAAAAAAAAAAAAAAAAAAAAGGTGCCGGAACTCATACATGTCATACAACTCCACCTTGCCTACCCTACGAGGTTTACCTTTGTAGTTGGGGGAAAAAAAAACCTTCAATTTTTAGTATATCTAAAAGACTAGGATTTTGTTCAAGGTAAGTTAATACTATTAATGTTACCATGCACTGTGTGGCTTTAAATTACAAGAAGGCATTTTACTAATCTTTTGAGACATTTACCACTGGCATACCTATTTAGTTTAATGAGTGGAAATGTCAGCTTTCTATGTGGAATGAAATTGGCCCAATAAAACAAAATTTGGTTGCTTGTAAAAGATTGAATTATTTTTAAGTTGTCAAACAAGGTGGAAAAATTTACATTTGGAGTTTAATATGGATATTGACTTGAAACAAATTAAAGTTGAAATTTACAGATTACTTTTAATTTACCTTTAAGTTAAACCCAATTTAATAAATAGATCTGATTAAACCTCATATTGTAGGTCTACTTTTACATCTGACCAATACATAATTAATATATATTATTATTAATAATAATATTTCCCAATCACAAGACATTGGCTTTATTCTTATTCTTCCTCTCTGCAGTTTGAATCTAAAGTATAAAAGACTAAAAAGAGATTTTCGTAGACATCCCAGCCTTTGAACTACCCAAGGAACCAAAACAGCAAAGTTTCGCTGTTGGGCAAGCCTCCATACCAGTTGCCTTTCTTTCTTCTTGCTTCGCCTCTTTTTAACCTCATACCCCACCTTCTGTAAGGGAAGGCAAAAGACTCACTCACCCTCTTGTGAAAGATGGCCTCCATGTTTATGTGTCTCCCACCGCCACCATTGGCTTCTACACCACATGGCCCAACCCAGCCAATCAAGCCACGCTCTGGCTGTGGTGCTCCAGTGCCTCATGGCTCCTCCTAGAGGAGGCAGACAGCACCAGAGGGGATACCGCTTGCACTGTACTGCTAGCGGGGCGTGTTCAAAAACAAATGAGGATAGGAAGGGAAACAATAGGAAAAGAACGTAACTCTGGAAAATATGTCGAAAAAAGGTGCCAGACCTCTGTTCTGGTGCATTCTATAACAAAAAAGCTCTGGCCAGAAGCATACAGATTTAGGCATGTAGAATCTCTGCAATGGAAGCAGCTTTCTCTTGATCACTATAGCAGCAGAAATCTTGACCTAGCACTACCAACCTGATAATGATGCCAATACTCTAAGGAGAGAGCTTATTTGTACTATTTTACTAACTGCAATTTCACAACTCTGTGCCAATAGACTGAACTGTGACCACAGTGTAGCTACTGGTCTAAGAGATAAAAGGATCAGTCTATTTTTGGTTATTTTCATTTATCATTTCTTAAGCTAGTACTAGCCTAAATTTAAAAAGGAAAATGCATGAACACGTTTCTCCACAAAGTACCCAATTCTGTATACATCTTATTATATGATATGTATTCATAAATGCATATTGTAACAATTTTAGAACTGGAAAGTACTCTAAATATTCAGTAGGATTATTCACTGAATAACAAAATATTTTAGTCTGAATTTTATAATTAGTTTTATGTGATTTGTTACAAAGGCTTGAAGTTAGGAACAAACTGATTTTAAAATTGTTGAAATATTAAAACAGCATAAATATCTATAAAATAGAATAATTTTATTTTATGTTACTTAATTTTCACTTCAAGAATTGATTTTTTGAACTTAATTTTTTCAAGAATTTGCAATGTATTTTTCAACAGTTAACACATATATTTGACAATATGAATCTACAAATGCATTTTTAAATAACAATCCATATTTATATCTCTACATGTGAACAAACATTTTGGGGCAAACTTTCAAAAATAGACATGAGGATATGCATGACCTGAATGAGTAAATATTTATAATTTTATAAGGAAAATAATTTTTGGGAAAAGTAAAAGTTACATTTTTCTTTGTTCCTTGTCTTATTCTTTTATATTTCATCTCCCAAACTAAAGTAAAAATGACTTTGATAGAGAATTATTCAATTTTTCACATAGTACTCAGAATTTTAAGAGTTCAATGAACAAACCATCATAATAACAGTGCTTGAGAATAGCACACTTATAATAAAAATGAGATCTTTAGAAAGGCATTTGATTAATAAACTTCTTTGACTTGACTTCACTAAAAACATCAAGAATCTGAATTGAAGTACAAATGAAGAAATAAGAAGTGTTAAGTATAGTACAGAGAAGCCAAATAAGTATTTACCATCATTCTTGGCCTATAATTCTTAGCACAGGGCTAAATATAATTGAAATATACATTTTTAGTAGTGCTGGTCAAAATGGTATTAAGCAAAGCTGGAGTTTAATATAGAGTAGAGAGAAATACCTGCAGTTCGATGGAACCAAGGCATATTAACTGAACATTTCTGTGTCACAATTGACCTATGGACACAGACAGGAATCAGAACTTGGAAAAGAGCTAGGTAGCAGATGAAGTTAGGAGTCAGTAATATAAATCATACTAATATCTACAGTATTCCAGCAAGGGAGATAGTTAGCAGACATATGGAAAACACATTTGAAAGTATCATGCTGTTAATTACCTGGCATATTCAGCTATCTGCAGATACTATTTACTGTTTCGATGTAGTTATAAACAATTGGATGCCTTATTTCAGTATAATCATTTCTTGGAGTTGCAAATTGCTTATTCTCTAGTTACTACTATATATCAAAGGCATATTTTTAATAATTCAAGGATGCTGAAAAATTCCAGGACTAACTTCTCCTAGTCAACAGGAGTTGTCTTTATTTGTACAAGTTTGCTATTATATTATAGGTTCTCTGAAGACCTTAATTAAGTCTATGACTATAGCCAATGAGCAGTTTCTTAACAGTAATGTAATTATGCTACCAAATAAGGAAGGGATTATATCAGAACTGGTTCCTATGCATTCCAACTATGTCATTTTATATTCTGAAAGCTTTATGGATTGAAGCTTTAATGCCTTACAACTAAACTGCCATAGACTTTGGAAAAACAAACTGATGGCAAATGTAGGTAAAAAAGAGTTCTGTGATCTTCTAACAAAATGTAAGATAGTACTTCTAATAAAAAAGCAGAAATATCATATACTCTTTGATTATGTTGTACATTTCTAACAGCATTTCCAAACTTTGCTAAATTTAATTAGTGAATGAAATGTATTATTTCAAATGGTATCAATCAGGTGGTAGATGTGTGCACAATGATGCAGCCATAAAAACAAGATGTGGCTGTATCTGTAAGCAAGTGTCAGCCGAACTTCTGTAGGTGAAACATTTAAGAATGAGGAGGCCATTACTGAAAAAAGTCATCTTGTCCTCACCACATATATTTATTTTTTTTGGGGGGGGGGGAGGGAAGAAACAGTTTCAATAGGCCTTCTCTTGATGGCTCAACTGGATAGTTATAAGAAAAAAACCCCTCAAGACTGCCCAGCTTGATTCTTTTTATATAAGAAGGGAGAGAGAAAATCCTGTCAAACTTTTAAGATTGTGTCATTATATTCTATAATTAATAAACTTCCAAGTAGGAAGTTTTTTTAGGCAATGACCAATACTTTGAATTGAGTCCAGAAGCCTTTGGAATACAGAGACCTAATAGATGTAATTCTCTAACTGTAGGCTTCCTGAGCAAGCAGTCTTACTGCTGCATTCTGAATCTGTGCCAGCTTCCGAGTCATCTTCCAAGGGAAGCCCATGTAGAGCAGCGGTTCTCAACCTGTGGATCGCGACCCCTTGGGGGTCGAATGACCCTTTCACAGGTATCGCCTAAGACCATCAGAAAACACATATTTCCGATGGTCTTAGGAACCGAGACACTGCTCCTCTATCCATCTCTGCACGGCTTCGAGCTGGGGGCGGTTGCAGCGCCGGATTTGTTTCCATCAAGCATCTCCTAAGGGAGACTGCACTGCTTCACAGCCCTTTCAGCGGAGGAGGCTGAACTAAGCTCTTTTGATGCTGTCGCCCTGTTGGCTCTCTCTCTCTCTCTCCCTCTCCCCGCCTGGGCGCTTCTCCAACCAGGCTGGGCGGAGCCGGCAGAGCGGCCTTCCTGCCCTCCTCCTCGGCCAGCTGGACCTGGGCAGGCTGGCGACCTTTGGAAGTCAGGTGAGGACAGGCAAGGCACGCTGAGCCTTGGGCGCGGTGGGTGAGTGGGCACTTGGAGAGCCCTTAGGGTTGGGGGTCACCACAACATGAGGAACTGTATTAAAGGATCACGGCATTAGGAAGGTTGAGAACTACTGATGTAGAGTGTATTGTGATAGGACAGTTATATGGCAATCAGGGCATGAATCACTGTCACCAAAGCATTCTGGTCCAGACAGGGCTATAATAAATGCACCAGACAAATTCATGTTCCAGCAAGACCCATTAGTCTACGAGAATCTCCAAGTAAATGGACCAGAGGCAGAACCTATACCATAGTGAATCTTATGCATTTCCCCAAATTCCATAAACTCAGAAGAATCCTATGTCATAATTCAAGGTACTGCTCTTTGCCTCACTTGAATCAGTCCAACTGGAATCTAAACAGAAGTGATTTGATCAGTAAGAAAAACTGCAAAATTCTCTAGATGGCCTGCAGGTGCCTTATCTTGCCTGCATTTCCCTAAAATGATCACACTTTCAATGAACAGGGAGTCAATGGATACAGTAATTGTGGAAAAGTGTTAATATGTCATCACACTTCTTGCTATTGAGTAGGCTCCATCATGAGGTTGTACTTGTGCTTGGCTATGCTCACTTTTGCTTTTATGTCACTGTCAATCTTATCATCTTTTCTGTCACTTAATCCCCCACTTATTAAAAAAAAACATGGAGCTACTTGGAATTGAAGGTTAGAAAGTGAGATACCTCTGTATTCCAGAAATTGAATATGTCAGCCTGTAAATCAGAGCTGCCCACCAAATTGTTGGGAAAATTTCCAAGCACCCTCTGGATCCATCAGATCCTTGCAGAGATCCAGAAGGATACAGTCCACAATTTGATCAGCAAATCATCTGACTATAATAAAAGGACATTTGTAGGTTCTGTCTCTCATGTCCAGATCTCATTTCATCTGCTCTGAAGTAAAGAACATATTAACCAGGTGCCTGCCTATGTGCACCAAAGCTGCAATTGCTTCTGCTTATGCCCATGATTGTCATGGAGGCCATAAATTCATGAGCCATTCTAGAATTCCCTCCTGGGGCATGAATTTTGAAATTTTGAATTCATCCAACATCATAAGTCCCATAGATTATAGAGAGAGAAGTTCAAAAAGGGCCATCTCCCGACAACTCTTAACACCACTACTAACTCTAGCTTCTCTATGCAGTTCAGTTTAGCATACAGGCACTTGCAACTAATCACCTCTGGATCACTGCAAGGTTTTCACAAATGGAAATCTTTATTTCCTGAGCTTGATGTTATGAGTGCTGCAGAACCCGAAACCCAATAGTCAGATTTCTTAACAGGGCTATATCACTGAGCACGAATAGTACATGTTTCAATAGTATGTTCCATGTCTGCTTCCTCATGCACATGATGGATGGATACAATTTTATTGTATACAGAAACTGAAATTTATCAGATTCAGATTTCGTGGTGATCAAGGAATCTGACATATGGCTAACTAGCCCAGGTTGGAGGCAATTAGTTTAAAAGGGATTTACACTAACATGAGACTTCCTTCTCCTGTAATGGCTTATCCAATGCCCTTTCCTCCCCTCTTACCAGTTTCAATATATATTTTAAAATTTGAATCTATGTTGAATTTGCTAACACAGTTGACAAAAGGCCTAAGAAACAACCATCATAGACAGAATTTGTTATTTTCATTAGGTACATATTAATAGTTAGAACTGATGATGTTACCTAGTTGGGTAATGAAACATATGTAGGAAAACAACCAACCTCTAAGCAACAAGGACCCCACATAATTAATAATTTGTTGTAAGAATTAATCTGGAATTAAAAAGTATAAAGCTTATATTGCAATACCACTCTCCTCAGCTGTTCTAAAAACCTGAGATAACATCAGAATTCTATTTTGCATTCTGTCCGGAAAGCAGACTTACCAGAACAAACTTTTAATTAATTCACAATTTTTTTATTTTGTGAAGTAGTAGCAAAGAGGCTTGGCTGTTGCTCAAAATCAAGGAATTCATCAGCAAAGTAATAGAAGTAATTGAACTCTCAGTCTTAGTTCCAACCATGATTATATATATCAACTTGAATGAGCTATGTAATGACAATCTACTGGATAGAAATCTGGAAACAAATCCTGAAAGGGGAAAAAAAAATCTCATTTTGAAAATGAACAGAAAACATTTTGTTGAGTCACCCTTGCACATTTTGGATTATAGAGCTGTAGGACAGAAGAATTCTGAACTGTCAGCAGTGATACACACAGCCAGTTTTAGATATCATAAATGGACAGCAGTTGTTACTTATTTAATTCATTCCCATAATTTTAGTACAAAGAAAGGCATATCTTCTTGAATATTCAATAGGCTATCAAAACAATCTGAATAGTTGGAAGGTCAGGGTGGTAGTTTATCTTGTAATTTAATTGGGAGGTTATTTATATTTTTCACATTTCTAAATCATCTATTTCCCTTAAAGAGGGACTCTGGGTTGGGGGTAGAAAGGCTTGTCTTGGATAATCTATCCATATTTTTAAAGGGGATACATCATAAAAATACAACTGGGAGCCAGTGCAGCTCAAACAAAGTAGTACAACTGGGGAGGAACCACAAGCTTACCAAACTGGATGTTGCTGCATTCTAGATTATTACAGCTTCTGGATGGTCTTTAAGGACTGCCCCACGTAGAACATATTGCAATAAGACAAATGGGAGGTGACTAAAGCATAAGTCAGGGCTTTTCAATCTTTTCACCCATACTACCACTTTTGGGATATGGCAACATCTGAGTACCACGAGTTGCCTAGCAAGGTGTCGAAAACTTGATGACCCCCCCCAAAAAAGGAAAAAAAGTGATAAAGTACAGGTAGTCCTCGACTTACAACAGTTTGCTTAGTGACTGTTTGAAGTTACAATGGCACTGAAAAAAGTGCCCCCCAAGGCACAGCCGAGCAAGACACCTACCTGCCTGCCTGGTGGTGCTCTTCCTCCTATCTGAGGTTTTCATTGTGAGCATTACTGTTGAGGATTGGCAGCGGGGGTGGGGTGGGGGGTGTTTGGTTTTTATTCCCCCGTTTGCTGGGTAGTTGCAGCAGGTTTTGGTTACTTCACATGACCCTGGGACACTGTGACCGTCATAAATATAAATTAGATGCCAAGCATCTGAATGTAAATCACAAGACCCTGGAGATGCTGCAACATTCCAGCTGATAGGCGCTTCTTGTGGGCTCAGCAGAAGCACCAGGATCAGCGCCGAGCTACAGCTGGAGCCTGGCGCTGATCCTGGCGCTTCTGCTGAGCCCTGACAGCCCTGCAGCTCCAGCCGTCTCTCGCTCAGGCTTATGCGGTGCTGCCACCAGTTCAGCTTCCCCTCCCCCGCTACCACTTTTCTAGAATGGTCGCGTACCATCTGCCAGGTGCCAATGTACCACAGGTGGTACCCGTACCACTGGTTGAAAAGCCCTGATCTACTGGACCTTGGGCCAGTCACTCTCTCTAGTCCAACCAACCTCCTGGAGTTGTTCTGAGGAAAATAGGACAGAAGAGTATTATGCATGTTCGCTGCCTTGAATTATTTATAAATAAAGGCAGGATAAAAATCTAATAACAATCTGATAAATAAGTCTGAGCCTGATTTGAAAGTAGACTTAAAAATGACAAAGATGCTATGCTGGACATACAAATGAAACCAACTGATGTCTTATTAGTTAAAAGGAATATACAAATAACCAACCCAAAAAGTGACCTGGATGATATTCCTATATTGAATAGGAGATATTAGAAGTATCTTGTTAAAGTCGAACAATTTTGTGAAAAGGCACAAAAAAATTAAAAGAAATCAAATTCTAGGATATTATTTGAAGGGACCAGAGAAGTTAATACTATTTTGATCCAATACTTCTTCATGCTTCCTTTGCCCTCCTTTCAACTCTTTCTCAATTCAGTTAGCTCTTTCAACTGCACTAATGGAGCCTGGCAAAGGCAATAGAGTAGGATTTATCAACAAGAAAAGAATGCTTCTCCCTTATAAAGTCTTAATGTCTTCTTTTGTGCAAACTAATTAGAGCTCTCACTTTCCCTTGCAATGAATATTTTGGTAAAATGAAAAAAAAAGCAGGAATGCAAAATTCAGAGAAATTAATGGTTATGGTGCCATATTAAATCTTGACATATGAAGCAGATGTTAGAAAGAACTCTACTCTATGCTTCTATAATTAATTGGGTATTTATGAAAGAAGCGTTTTAGAAAACAAATAACATTAAATTGTGGATTAACCTTTTAATAATGATTAGCGGCCATGTGTTCATACCAGTTGGCAAAAATCTTCTTATATTTTGCTTTGAACCATTTTCTAATCTCTCTTGCTCCATAGCAGTGCAGTGTACCCTTGATTTAAAATAAAGCACACTCCGTTTAAAACTTTTCAGCGATGAACTATTCTACTGAACAGTAGAACCTGTTTGATCAGTTAAACCTTTCATTCCATTCCTCTGGCATGAGGCAACTTTTCAATAATTGCCTAATCAAGTTTTCTATAAAAGTGTACTTGCAAAGCAGAACACATGCCTAAGTTGCTATACAGAAGAAATATAAACAGCTTCCCATGTCATCCTTTAAATGAAGTGACATTAAACTTGCTATCAAGCTTGGCAACTTTGTGAAACAAAAGTGTAGAATCCTAGCATTTTTTTGAGAAATCTGAATGCCCACTTTTGTACTCTGTTTTTTATGCTTTCTTAGGGCTTTATTTATTATGCTTGTTACTTGTCACAATCAAATTCCTGGCAATTTACAGAATAATCCAATACATTAATTATCTGTAATATGATAATAACAATATAAAAACAATCATATAACAGAATACATAAAAAGTACAAAAACAATACAAAAAATCAATAAATGTATCCATTAAATGTACCCAAAAATCACAATGCAAATACTCTTCTAAATAACTCTGATATTTTTTGTAAGTGAGAAATGTTTGCTTTGATTCTTCCTTTCTTGTTCAGGTTCATCCTGTTTTCTATTTTATTTATTTATTTATTTTAATAAATTTATTTTATTTTTCCTTGTTTAGTGTAGCTATTCCTTTCCCTCACCCTTTCTCCATCCTATTTTTTCTTTATCACACTGCCATATAAATAAATGCAGGTAACTCTTACTCTACTCATGCAGCTATAAATAAAAGTCCCATAAGCATTTTTAGTTGCTATAGGATTCTACAGAATAGTTTTTTTAAAACTTTTTTGCGGGTACTTAAAATCTATACCAAAAATTCACTGTTTTTTTCTGGATATTGCTTAGTTTATTCCAAGTATTCATGGAAGCGGTGATGATGTATCTAATGTACTAAAAAAACTACTCCCCAATCAAGAAAAATGGTTAGATATCGGTCATTAAACATAAATTCTGCCACACCTAACTTATTTATTTTATTTAAAATGTAGAGTCATAGACCAAAAACACAAAAAACAAATAAACAAAGTAATGCAGATATTCCTTAAAAGCCTATTCATATCTGAGCAAAACAAGCTTAAGTTCATTAACCTCTAATCGTCTAATTCACACATGTCAAATTCGTGACGTCACGTGATGTCACACTATGTATCGGGACAGTTTTGTGTGGCTTCCGGATGATGCGTCCGACCCGCAGGCCGGCAGTTTGACACCCCTGTTCTAATTTCTACACTTACGTCTTCTGAACTATTGCTTTATTTGGAATGCTCCAACACTGGAGGTGTCAGAATCCAATTATATTTCATCTCTAGTTATTAACTATGGAAAACCCCATTTCTGCCCTCTTTGGATTCTGTCATACGATGAAGGGGAAGGGGGGGTGAACAAAGGGGTTTTATGGCCCTCACTTCCTTCAGTACAACTTCAAAGGACTTGAATGTGGATATCACCAAAAGGATTAAGCATAAGAATGGGGGCCATCAGCTTTGATCTGTTCCTCTCTGAAGTCTCCCTTTCACCGGCAGTGAGCAAAAGGGGGTGGAAATGTAGAGCCTGGGATTGTCACTGGGAAGATGATGGGGGTGGGGTGGGGCTACTGGGGACCCCTTAAAATTTTGAACTGTAGGGCTTGGGCCCCAGATCCTGTCTAGAACGCCTGCAACCATTTTCTTTTAATAAAGATGCCTGTTGGAAGAAATATTCCAAGAGTTCTGTCTTCTTAAGATGCAAAGTGGGGTGGTTCCTTACAGGAGGTTTTTAAGAAGAGATTGGGCAACCATTTATCTGAAACGGTATAGGGTTTCCTGCCTGAGCAGTTGGTTGGACTAGAAGACCTCCAAGGTCCCTTCTAACTCTGTTATTTTGTTATCTCTCATTTCCTTCGACACATTAATATAGGATTTTGAATTAAGTAGTGCATCACTAAATTTGTCTGAAACATCTCGGAAGAATTTTTGTACTTTTTAAAAGAAAAAAAAAGAAAAAAGAAAGAAGCAGAAAACTCTATCTCAGAAATATAATGCCAGTAATTTCAGGCATTTTAAAATATCTAACTACTTTGGACAATAAAACAAACAGCTGCTGATGAAGCTTATGATAAGGTTAAAATGGTTAGTGTGGCTGGAATATGAAGAAATTAATAACTGAGTTCCATAGAAAATAACAAATTTGTTCTGCTTCATAAAATTTCAAAGTCACAGCACTAATTGCCATTGAAATGAAACAGAGAAATAGATACCAAATAAATAATACTAAAAAGAAAATGAATTTAACAAAATGTATCCCTCCCAAAGGAAAAATAGTCAGAAAGAACAGCAAAACACCCCACATATGAATAGGGTTACTCTGGAAAGAGTACAACAGAAACAAATAATTAACAAAGAAAAATAACCATACAACATTGAATAGAAACAACTCAATATAAAACAGTTATTAAAAAGGATAACTAGATAATCAAAAGGCGACTCCACTCAACTAGATCTAAAGGTCTGGGGAAAAAAAAAGTCTATATTTTTAAAAGTAAGCAAACCCTGGTTTTTTCTGTGTTTTTTTTTTGCGAGGGGGGAAACCATTCAAGAGTACAGGGGCAGCCACTGATAAGGAACGCATTCTAATGTAGGTCTCACAAGATGGCAATATTAAAGTGAGGAAAACTGGAGCATGCTGTCAGTACGGGAAGGCATGGGATGCAGGCAGAGGTTGATTGGAACAGGCAGTCCTGCAAGTACCTCAGTCCTATGCTATGTAAAGCTTTAAAGGCAATAACCAGGAAACTTGAATTGCACCTGAACATCTGTTGGGAGCCAATATAGCTTGTGGAGTCACATGGGCACAATGAGCTGCTCTCATAACTACCTGCACAGTTACATTCTGGACCAATGGAATTTTCTGGACAGTTGAAAGGTTGAATAGAGTGCACTGGCCATGATGAGTTCTCTTGTAGTGAGTTGGCCATGACAAGATGGCTGTAAGTTGGCCGTGGAGAGCTGGACTTGATGAGATGGCTGCAGTAACTTGGCCCTGGCAAATTGTCCCATTCTGGGCTTGGCAGAGCAGAACTACAACTTGTTCTTTCCCCTTCAGATCCTCTCAGCTTCCAAACATTGGGAAAGAACCTCAATGGCTTCATTTGGATTTTCAACTGGCTTCACATATGACAGATGTGTATAGTCTGTATCGATGTACAAACAAAATGAACAAGACCAGAGCAGCAAGAACATTAATTGAATAAATAAATGCTGATTAAAAGCATCTGCCTGTAAAATAATGTATCCTACATGTAAAATTAATGGACCTACCATTTACAAGTACTTTGTAGCAAACATTTTTTTTCTCCCACAGAAACATCTCTGACAGAGGGAAACATGTTCTCCTGTCATAAAAACTCCCCTCTCTTGTGTAATTTACAGAAGTAAAATCCACAGGAAAGATGGGATAAAAATGTGAATGTAAGTCATAAAATAAGAAAACTAGGAAAGGGAAATCCTAACTTCACACATTTTACTTTTAGAACACTTATTAATCACCCTTAGAGCAAATATGGATGTTTTTAAAATTAAAAAATGCACATGCAAAAATATATACATTTTACAAGTAGAATTAGTTCATCTAATCTTACTAATAACTGAGCAATTCATATTGATTGAAATTATTTGACAAGTACTTATTAGTTTTAGCAAAATGGTATTTCACTGGAATGCAGATGGTTGATGGGAAATTTCAGCAATGTGGAGGAATTTTAAGTATAACTTGATCTACTTGAAAGATTGAAAGAGCAAAAAGATTGAAAGAGCAACAACAGCAACAAAAAACTCATGCAAGCTACTTTGGGAAAAGACAGGCTCAATATTAAGTTGCTTTTGTGACAAGCTAGCCTGAAAGTCAAAGTATGTATTATATTAAAATGCATTTCAATTTAATATGACTACTTTAAAAACTAAAGTAGTCTGCATGCACTGCAAAAGAAGTAGATTCAGTATCATCCCTACATGGCAGTTTCTTATCTCTCGTTAAATTGCTATAGAACAGAACACCTCTTTCGCCTCTAACAAAGTTAGCCATGGAACTGCAATTCACTTAGATTAATTGACCATTTTACAAAAGCAGATTTGGAATTGTTCCACACGTTGCTGATGGCTTCTGGAAATTAAAATGAATGACTTTTGTTGTCCTCTGTTGCAATTATTCTCCAATATTGTGAGGATGACTGCTTGCAGCAGGAAGGCTGCTCCCATTTTACAAAAAGAATCTTCCCAACTTGACTTCTCAGATATTTTGTGACTCCAGTTTCATAATTCTGTGAATATCCATGAATTCCAGTTGCCTTCAATGTCACTTTAGTTACAAAAGTGAGGTGTCCTGTGAAATTCTGTCCACTTATATAATACAACATGGAGAGACAACTTCATGTTGTGGTTAAGATGCTGGACTAGAAAGTGGAAGGCTATAAGTTAAAAATGCTCTGTAATTGGTTTCATATGATGGCATTGGTTTCCTTGAAAAAGGGGAGGAAATCCCCTCACTCTTGAAGAAGACTGAGTTGTGCCTTCCCTCAAGAAACAATTGCTTCTGAAGTATTTCCATCTAATGTCCATTAAGTTCATCCAGTTAAATTTATGTTTGTAGCTGCCTATATTGCTCTTCTGGTTAGCTATAATCTTTTTTAAATATACAGTTTTGATTTTTTTTTTGTAAGCTGCCATTAACTGCTAAAGAATCAGGTGGCTTCTAAATTGGGTGGATACATGGATAGATAAATAAATAAGAATTGCAGTCATTTTAGTAATAGTGAAAATATGTTATGAAAATATAATGTAGAATATAAAATACAATAAATAAAAAGTAATACATAGTAAGCAACAATAATGTGAGTGTAAAATATTAGAAACATTCTTATATTTAAAACTAAAACATGCATTGTAATACAATTA